AAAAGTACTGTAACTGGGCCTTGGAATTTCTGTGGAAGACAGGAGATTGAAAGATCCAGACCTGATGTTCATAGAGAATTTTATAGGAAAACAGAAGCAAAATAGGTATTTAATATGAGAGAAAGAAAAAGAATATCCTTTTTATAAATAATTCAGAGTATATCGGGGCCTATCCAGAGGAAATTATACCAGAGCCCTTGCAAGAACTGCATCCCATCACTTAAGACAGGACCACTGGGATCTGCCACTTTAACTTAAAGTAATTAATCAAATATGCAATAACAACCAGGGTTACCAACCCGCTCAGGGAGTGCTCTAAGGGCTATGAAACACAAGGTTAAGCCAGGGTACTCATTTAAATATACCACAAACTCCAGTGGGCAGGCCCACCAGTGGCCTAATTAGAAATAAATTAAACAGGCAGAAGATGCCTGACCAGCAAGCAGGTCTGTTCACTGCAGAAAGACAGATTCTCCCAGGAGCACCCCAGGCAACTGAGCCACAGGCAGAGAAGCCAGCCCCCCAGTGTTCCCTCACCTCAGCAGCCCCTAAGTACTGGACAAATGACCACACCACCATCTCTCAATGTCACATTTGGGAAAATAGGGAGCCAGATTACACAATTTCTCAGACAACACTCTAACTCTTGAGAAAGTTATCATTTAAAAACTGTGTAATGAAAAGTTTTTGGTAAATACTTGTAAGTTGACTAAACTATTCAATAATGGCATTAATTTCATCTCAAAATTTATACATAGCTTTCCCATAACCATCAGGAAAAGGAACTTCAATAACATTTATCCAGTTATGTTTATTAAAAATCTCCCCCAGCATCAGAAGAGACAAATGGACAATTCAAGTGGAATCTTTTTCTTACCATTTCGGGACACATCGAGTTCCACCAGCTGCATGAAGTTTGCTATTTCTGGAGGGAGCCGCTGAATTTCATTATCACTAAGTCCAAGCTTTCGTAATTTGACTAGCTGGAAAAATTGCTGAAAAACAAAACAGTTTCACATAGGTCTCACATACATTTGCAACGTAACTTTCTGTCCAAAATGAAATTTAAAACAATATGTCTTTTAAAAATTAATGAGAATTGCACCAATGTCAATTTCCTGATTATGATACTACATTATAGTCATATGACGATGTTACCACTGGGATAAACTGAGTACAAAAGAGGTCTCTGTTCCATTTTTGCAACTCCCTTATTAATCTATAATTATCTCAAAATTAAAAGTTTTGAAAAATGAGTAACTAACTCAATGAGAATAATAAGCACTGCTTCAAGCTATCTAGGAGGTGGTCACATTTTCTACTTAGGAAAACTGATGTTAAGTCCACAATGTTAATAAACATATGCAAAATTAGAATAGAATATTTTAAAGACAGTTTTAAAAAGAATAACTGTGCATTAGAAAATATACAAATATCCCGCATATGTGATGTGGAGAGAAAAATGTTTTGAAGACTCTAAAGAAGAGCCTACACTGATACATCCATTAACCACGGCAGACTGAGAACATTCCTTTTTACCCACACTCCTTAAAAACTATACTAAAATGACACTAAATTTATACAGACATAAAAATATGGAATAAACTCATGAAGACAATAACGAGAGGGGACAAGAATACAAACTAGATATGCAACAAAATCCTTGAAGCTAGAAAACAAATTAACAAATGGTAATTAACAAAAGAGACAAAGCAAAGCTAAAATTTAAGCCTGTGGAATAGAAATAAGAAATTAGGACCAAATACCTCTGAAGGGAAAGCAAGTAGTTGGAAATATATATATATAAAGAATAGTTAGATCCCCATATTCTCTTCTCTACCCTGCATACCAAGGCAGGAGACTGGAAATTTCCCTTCTGGAAAAGTTGGCTCTAAGCATAGCTGAGGGAAGGGCTGAGGCGCCCTACTAAAAACAGGGGGACTGAGTCAAAGCCTGCTCAGTGAAATCCCACCTGCTTTTCCCCACAGTCAGGCTCCCAGACATGAGGACAGACCTAAAGATGCAGATTATACTATGGAGATGCCCATGTTACAAGTCCCACCCACGAACACAGTTTCCAATCATCTTTTTTTTTTCTCATTTAAAAAGAGCCACAGTTCGTGGAAGTACACACACCCCAGAAGAAACAAATATGATATAGGGAGCAGAAAAAACTTCACCAACAAAAAATATAATTAATACCCTCAGAGAAATAAAAGAATATGAAGCAACATAATGCCATAAAAAACAAGCTCCAAAGAAGTAATAAACTCTTAAAAATTAAAACTTATTGTAGCATCAATAAAAGACTCCAATAAAAGAAGTGAAAATTAAAGTTAACAATCTGTCAGAAGGCAGAATAAAACACTGAGATGGACAAATGGGAGAAAAAAAGCAGGAAAATCAGAGGGTCAGTCTACAAGATACTACACTCAACTAACAGACATCAAAAGAGAGAAAACAAAGGGGGCTGCAGAACATGCATTTCCAATTTGGAAGAGCCCACTATGTGGACAATGAAATGAATGAAAACAGGTATCAAGGAATATTTTAGAGTTTTCGTAACTCCAGAAAGAAGATGATTCTCAGTTTCCAGAGACCAAGGGATGGGAGGTAGGGAAGTACTGGAAATCAGAATGGCACTAGACTTAACAGCAACCTTGCAAGTGAGAAGGCAATGGGGAAATGCCTTCAGAATTCCAAAAAACATTATTCCCAACCTAAAACTACATACCCAGCTAAACTATCAATCAAATGTGATGACAAAATAAAGACATTTTCAGATATGCATGGTCTCTAAAAGTAAATTTAAAGGTGTAGGACCTGAGGCCCAGAAATCAGACAATTAACAAAACAAACTGAGAGACAAAGGAAATGCCCAAGATAAAACAGTGAAAGGAATTCCAAGATGCTGGCCAAGCAAGTAGGCCCTAATGGCAATCAGTCCACAATGGAGAAAATACTGAAGACTCTCAGAGGAAAGTTTTAAACAACGAAAAAATAAGAACACATCTGGAGGATTATCTGATGTGTTTGGAAGTAGTGAGATGATTTGTATGGGGATAAATTAGGAATAGAGGAAACGAAGCAAGGAAAAAGAAGGGCGCTATTAACTTCCAGAAAAAATGTAAAGTATAAGAAGATACAATCATAATATAAATATAAGATTTGGTTACGAGCAATACTTAGTCATATTTTAATATCTACATATTGATAAAAACCAAAATTTATTTTATGGCGATACTGAAAGGATGGGAAAGAAACTCTTAAGTACTAAAGTCTCATCTTTGCCCAGCCGGCATGGCTCAGCAGTTGAACATCAACCTAGGATCCAGGAGATCAAGGTTCGATTCCTGGTGAGGGCACATGCCCGGGTTATGGGCTTGATCCCCAGCACAGACCATGCAGGAGGCAACCGATCAATGACTCTCTCTCATTATTGATGCTTCTCTCTCTCTCCCCCTCTCCCGTTCTCTTTCTCTAAAACCAATAAAAATATATTAAAAATAAATAAAGTCTCATTTTCCATAGAAGGGCATCAACAGAAAACTATAAAGTGAAAAAAAAATCTCAAACTATGAAAGTAAGCTATTTAGCAAGCGGAGGCAAATATCAGTAGAAACAGCCAAGAGATGAGGGTTCTCAAAGCCAGAAACTGCAGTGAAAAGGGGAGGGCAAGAGGCTACTGTTCTTGACTGTCACACCACATGGCTTATTGAATTTTTAAAACTATTTGCATCTATTACTTTGCTAAAAATAGAACTTGAATTTACAAAGGAAAAAGTCTCTACTAAGATAACAGGGTGCCCCAAATGATAATTTTGAAGGATGCTAATATTTAATAAGTTATTTTTAATTTAATTTTATTTATTTATTTATTTGGTAAAAAGAATTGTATACTTATATGATTCAAAAAAGCACTGTCTTTTGTTTTTTGTTTTACTGTTTTATTTAATTTTAAAAATTTTTTAAATTACATTTTACATTCAAGATTATTTTGTATTAGTTTCAGGTGCACAACATAGTAGTTAGAAAATCATATACTTTACAAAGTGTTTCCCCTGATTTCCAGTACCCACCTGGCACCATACATAATTACAATATTATTGACTGTATTTCCTATGCTGTACTTTACATCTCCATGACCATTTTGTAACTATCAATCTGTACTTCTCAATCCTTTCATCTTTTCCACCCAATCCCCAAAATTCCTCTCCTCTGGAAACTATCAGTCTGTTAAAAGCACTGTCTTTTGGAAAGCAATTGGGCAACCCATAGAACATAAGTTTTCCAGTCCACTGACATAATGATACTTCTGAACACTGCCCTTGTAATATAACTGAAAGTTTTTTAAAAATGGAAAACATACATGTCAAATATGGGAAATGACTAGCATATTAATAAATAATTTTATATTAAGCAAGCAACAAAAACAGTTACTATAAAGGCCACAGTGCTTGAAAAAGATTTACAATGCAAATATAATTTTGAAAGGAAACAAAGTTGCAGGTACACTATGTAAAACAGTATGTGTGCATGTTGACAGACAGGGAGAAAACATGGGGGTAAAAAGTTATGCTGGGTGATAAGGAAAATGCATAAACAACTGAAATTTTTATTTAAAAAGAAATATATTTTTAAATAAAGTAAACTATAAATCTCCGAAAATGAATGCTACCAATTAGCTGTATATTGTAATGAAGGTGCTCAAACAAAAGACTAATCTTTTGGATTTCTTTAATCATACAGTTGAGATTTAATTTCTTATGGAAAGGCGCTGAAATGTCTTTATGCTGATTGTACTAAAGCATTAACTGACACAAAAGCCATTCAAAAGAGCCAGATATTTGAATAATTAAGCTTATGCCAATTTCAAAGAGTCTGACAGTTTCATAATGCATCAATGTGTTTACTCAAGCATGAAAAGCTCAGGTTGTTTTCCAGGAAAAGCATAATAGCAACAGCACAAAAACCATCACCAATGCCATACTTTCAAGGACCATTCAGAAATAATACAAGAAATCAAGTCAATAAGGTACTTAGATCTACAGTGAATCATAAATTAGTTTTATATCTGTGGAAACAACGGCCTACAAATCCCCACATCCAAGAGACATCGTAAGAGCAAGCACATTTAAGTTTTGTTCTGCGTGATAAAAGCATCCTCAAATACAGCTTGTCACAAATACAACTTCATTCTACTTGGGAAGCACATGCCAGATGTAAAAACAACCCTATCCGCAGGATCCCCCAACTGAAAACAATAATACCTCAATCCTTCCCTCGTTATCCTGATGGGATCTTAATTTAGTATCCAAAGGCTTTAAATTAACTTTTTTCTTGTAAGACTGACACAATGCCGCTAAGACTTTATTAAATCCTCAAGTTTTCAACTTTCTCAGATGGGGGGAAAAACTCAACGAGCTCAAAGCCTCTGCTTTCTCTCTGAGATTAGCCGGGGCACATGAAGAGCGATTGGCGGAGCTGTCCTGGCAGGGCGCCCCGGCCCAGGGCGATCATGTGACAGAACACACAGACACCATTCTTCAACTATACCATGTCTGATTAGAGCACACTGGCCCCCGCAGAGCACATTTTGTACAATTATATGCAAAGAAACCCAAATTGCCTTGGCTTGGTAGGCTGCACTGCAGTCTTCTTATAGCCACCATTGTTTGTAGCAGATATAGAGTCTTTATCTTGGCTGAACAAAATGTTTCTTTTTCCCAATCTCCTTTTTTGACAAGATTCTTTTTCCTTTCCTTTTGACACAGTGTTAATACCTCCCTTCTTCTCAGAAAGGGACATAAGGAAATCTCAGTCCCGCAAGAGCAGTGTCCTTTGTTATTACTGTATGGCCCAGGATCAGTCAAATGTCCCCTCACTGCCCAAACGTCTCCATAACGCAGAGGAAACATAAATCACTGTCGTAGATTCACCTAGAGAACAGTGTTAAGGGAGTTATTAAACTCCTGAAAAATGTTTGACTCCAAGC